GGATACTTTCCGGATATCCGATGCATCCCTATATTTTATTTTATCCAAATTGTTTTTATTTATTAAATAGCAAAAATTAACATTTCTCGCTTCTGATGGCATAATTCAATATATAATGACTACTTAGGAGATTTGAAAAAGTCTGTATTATTGACATCGATCAAGTTCGACCGTCATTCCAGCATCATCTTAAGGGGATTAGACAGTCAAAAATCGCAAAATTATCGATTTGGCAGCTGAAAGAGTCGAGCGACATACGAATTCGATTTCGTTCATCTGCAGATAATCGAGAGTCGGCCATCAAAAAGGAGCTATAGTAAAAGGACTCACTTTTTCTATTACAATATAAAATATATATATAGTAAAAGGACTCACTTTTTCTATTACAATGTATAAATAATGAACAGGAACGATGTCCTAGAAACATCTTATAACTTTGCTATATTAGTAATTGTATATAAATTATATATAAATTATATATAAATTATATAATTTTCGAAATTTTAAAAGCGTTTTTTTTCTCGAAACCTTTTTCTTGATTTTTGCTCTAATTACAAACAGACGATTCAGGTTAATTTGAAAAAAATTTAGATTGTGTAAAACATGTATCAATTCCCGCTAAACGTAACTTCCGATAAGTAAAAATTCGAATTTAAAAAAACATTACGTTTTTCATTAAAAAATTATTTGAAAAAAATCATCGTTTTTACCGCCATTTTAATAATTATGTTTCGATTATTTTCTTTTTTTTTTAATTTGATTGGAAACTATTGTTATGCAACAGAGAAAACTAATGAGTGAACGTTCAGTAATTTTTTAATAGATTGGTTTTTATTTTTTATTCTTCGCGTGTAGAAACCAATTAAAGAATTATTGAGCACTCACTGATCAATTTTTTATTGAACGCAGCTTATGAATCTAACGAATATCTCGCAATAAAAATGTTAATATTTCACTTTTTAAACTCTGTATCGATATAAGACTAAACAATTTTTTTCTCAAATTCTCATATGGTCCCTTTGTCGCACATTAAAAAATATATATGAGGGCAAGTCAATAAATTCTTAGAAAATAGAATGTCGCTTTTTTGTTCATACGAACTATAAAACTTTTGTATTAAAAAAACATTTATGTCAGTTAAAACATTTATGTCAGAGGGCACTCGCAGTCACTTTTTAACAAGTAGCATCTCTCAGCTGATTATTGTCAAATTTTGAGCGGAATTCATCGTGGTTTCATTTCTGTAGACGATTAAAGCGAACAACCTTTGTATTTTTTGCAAAATGGAAAAAAACGAGTTTCGTACAGTAATCAAACATCTACATATGAAAGATTTAACGCCGAAAGAAATCAAAGCCAAGTTGGATAATGTTTATAACATATCTGCACCAGCGTTTATGACTGTATATAATTGGGTGAATGAATTTAATCGTGGTCATACATCTACATGTGATGCACCTCGTTTGGGACATCCAATTGAGGCTGCTATGCCAGAAATCATTGATAAAGTCCACGATATTGTTTTGACTGATCGATGATGAAAGTACAAGATCAATGATGAAACGCGATCTTGTTGCCACAGGCATATCATATGACACAGTGATTTCAATTTTACACGAACAATTTGATATGAAAAAGCTATCAGCAAGTTGGATGCCGCGTTTACTCGCTGTGGACTATAAGCGCGACTGTGTGACGATTTCAAAATCAACAATGTTTGGAGATGTTCAATGTAATTCAGAATTTCTGCGTCGATTCATTACTGTGGACGAAACATGGATCCATTACTTCACACCCGAGACGAAGGAACAGTCAAAACAATGGACTTCATCGGGTGAACCAGAAGAAGACGAAGACCATAAAGTCGGCTGGAAAGATGATGGCCATAGTTTTTTGGGATGCACGCGGTAATTCATATCGATTACCTCCCATCGAAGCAAACGATCAATGGCGATTACTATGCAGCCTTATTTCAACATTTTAAAGAAAAAAACGTTCCTCTTTGGCGCAGAAGAAAGTGCTCTTCCATCAAGACAATACACGAGTTTACACGTGCCCGGCACCGATGGCCAAATTCAACGAATTCCGCTACGAATTGCATCCAGCATATTCCAGATTTAGCTCTTTGCGATTATTTCATGTTTCCAAATCTGAAGAAATGGTTCGGAAGAAAGAGATTCACCACCAGAGAGCAGCTCATCGCCGAAACAGAGGCTTATTTTGAAGGATTGTCAAATCATATTATTCGACTTGAAAAAAATGAAGAATCGTTAGATCAAGTGTATCAAACTGAATTTTACTATGTTTTTCTAAAAATTTATTGACTTGCCTTGTATTATATATACACACCACACACGCATACGCACGCATGCACACATATACAGGGTGTTCCAGCATGATCGCCAAATATTTCGTGTGTAGATATAGCGGACTAAACTTGAAAAGTCCTCTATCATTTTGGAATTTTCACAATAATTAACAAGATGTTCTAATTACTAAAAATTGCCGAATATTGGTCTTCAATAATTTTTTACTCAAATATTATCTATAGTATTTTATAGAAAAACGATAAGAGATAAAAACTATTTATTTTCTTTTTGTAAAGCTCTAAGAATTTTTTCAGAATTTTTTATCAACTTTTTAATACTGTATTTTTTTATTGGGGACTTTTTTTACCAACATAAGAAAATGCGTACTAAAAAATTCTGAAAAAATTCTCATAACTTTATGAGAAGAAAATAAACAATTTTTGTCTCTTGCTGTTTTTCTATAAGTTAATAGTATTTAAATAAAAAATTATTAAAAATCAGTATTCGGCGATTTTTATTAATTAACATCTTGTTAACTATTGTGAAAATTGCAAAATGGTAAAGGACTTTTTGATTCAGTTTAATTGCTCTATCTGCATATGAAATATTTGTAGTTTCTGAGATATCCTATATATCTAGAGACACGTAGTGTCTCGGCTCTAAGCTAAATGCAACGACGTCATAGCGCGAGACCGACCATGCTCCTTTACGCGAGTCGATAATATCTACCAGTGTTTTTTCTCAAACTATATATACTGATAATAAACATTGAATAAAAGAATAAATCTGGGTTTTCTTTCATTGTGTGTGTGTGTGTGTGTGTGTGTGTGTGTGTGTGTGTGTGTGTGTGTGTGTGTGTGTGTGTGTGTGTGTGCGTGCGCGCGCATGCGTGCGTGCGTGCGTGCGTGCGTGTATATATGTGTGTGTATTATGCAATTGACTTACAACAAAATTTTTATTTTTAAGCGATTTGACTGTCCAATCCTCTTAAAAGATATAATAAAAATATATAGAAAAAAGGAATATTACAATAGTAATACGTAATTTTAATACTTTGATTATGCGATATAATTCGGCAAAATTCCTTGAGATATATTTTTTGCTATGAGCAGAACAATTTTGAATTGACAATGTGAAATTATAACTTTTTTCAATATGTTTATGTAAAAAAATATGCAAGTATATTAATACGTGGTGAAATACAGTTATTGTAATATCATATACAATATATATATAAAACTGTAATATATATTATGCTTAATTATGAATGAATGATATAAATTTCATTTTTTCAATTCAATCCATTATTAAAAAAGAAGTTTAAGAATCTATATTAAAATTATATAATTTATCGTCAACATAGATAACTAATAATCTTAAATAAAATAATATACTTCTGTAATTCACATTTTAAAATATAAAATTTTATTAAAATATTGGCAAATCTTTATCATCTAACTATACATTTTTAGTCATTACATTATCAAATCTGACTACTTGAGCCTGATTTAACACTTAATACAATGACTAAACTTATAGAGATTTTTATAGAGATTTTTAGATTTTTATTTTATACTGGCAAGTTTCATTTTGCATATTTTTTATAATTTTCTGCAAAGCTTTGATAGTGAAGGAAAAAAGATATTCCTTCTTTAGACCGTTAATATAGATAACCTTTGGTTATATAATAAGAGCACTACTATATTATTGTATTAATATCGCTCAATGTATATTTGTATATATTTGTTAAAAATTATTCTATTAGTCTTAGTTAATTGGCATTTCATGATATATGGCTTCAAAATACAAATGGATGAGGTCGTTACAATCGGTTCTATACGTACATTTAAACACTCTACGATATTTACTTATTCATCTCGCAATTTATCTAGGTAAACGTAGTAGTGGCGTAGACTAATTTTAATATCTATTAATAATTGAAAATATATAATTTATATTTCACATATATAGAATATAAAAACGATGATAATGAATTTCGATGTATGTCATGTTACATCTACTAATTTATTATATATTGAATTTAAAAATTAATTACAAAAGCAGATATAATCCACAATTGGCAAAAGGAGAAAAAAATTTTTTCGTAACTATGCGATATGTATATAGAGTTTTTGTGTGCGACGACATATTTATTTTATTTTTATAAAGCAAAATATATTTGAGTAATCGCCATCGTCATGAAATTATGATGTAATAAGTGAGAAGTAACATGTTAATTTTTGTTATGTGCCATTAGTAAAGACAATTTGGATAAAAAGAAATGATGAAATCGCTTTAAAATACTTATGAAAATAGATCAAAACTATTCTTCTCCCATTGACTGTCAGTAAATAGTTGTAAACACATGAATAGTGAAAATGGAAATAAGCTGCGCATGCGCATTGAGTAAACGCGTGCACGTGCCCTTTAACATCTTTTATGACTGTCTATTTACTGACTGTTAGGGAGGATAAAGACAACATCCATTTTTACAAGTATTTTCATTTTGTTTTATCCAAATTATTTTTATTTACAAATAGCAACATATAACAAAAATTAAAATGTCATTTCTTGCTTGACATCACGATTTAGTATAATAACGGCGACTACATAAGAGCTTTTCCAAATTAAAGAAAATTATGAATAATGTAATGCTTGAAAACACTACGAGATATATTCTTTGTATTATTTGAATATATCATTAAATAAGATGGCATTCATATTTATTTTTTTCAATTTAGATGGACGGATTAATTTATGTGTGATTTGATTGAGTCCCACCCATCTTCTGTTGCATCATAGTTAAGAGCAGTTCGGAATATTGCTGCATCATATTGACTACCTTGCTCTGATCCTGACCCGCGAGTAATTCTTGAAACTTTGCTGTCGCTTCATTAGTGATAGCGTTCTCACCACTTCCATGATTGTCATTCTCACCAGCAGCAACAATCAGTCGTAGAGTACGCATAGTTTCATTAACGGATAATTCCAATCCTCGTAGCATTGTATCTCGGTCGATCGCTGTAGATGAGTCATTGTCTATCGTCAAACGTTTGTACAATTGCACGACATTGTCCGCAGTGCGTGTAAGCTCATCTGCAATCGTATTGCATAGTTGTGTGGACACTGTAAGAATACATATCAGTATTATATTTATACTACGTATGTGTATAAATCCAATAATCATATATATGAGAAAATAAATTTAATAAATAATGATGTATTGTAAGGTATGCATGTTACATTGATTTTAAATCCGAATTTCATTTGAGCTAATTGATATCTATTGAACTATATAATTAAAAAAATTTTTTTTCTAAAAGTTCTCTGTACAGTCTATTGATGACTGCGTATTGATGACTACGTGTGTACAATAAATAATTAAAATTGTATAAATACATAGGATTAATGGATTTTAAAACTGCACCGATATGTTCTTAATCCTCGATAAGGATAAAAAAAAAAATTATTATTCAGAATCGTTTCCTTAGCTCAAATTTTAATAAAAATATACTCATTAGATGCGTTTTCATTCAAAACAAAAGAATCTGGCAGAAAAACGCGGCGATTTGTCTCGCGAAACAAGTTAAGCTTAAAGTTTATCAAGTATTAGACTATTCCTCATCCTGATGAATTAAACTGCAACGTTCACGAAACGTTGACATTCTAAGAATAGATCTGGGGTCCTATTTTTTAGCACATATGAATAATTTTCGCATACGAAAATGACAGATGATTTCTCGATTGTGATTGATCGATTAAATACGAAATTATTATTTTCATATGCGATATTTGTTCAAAAATATCCCTGGACACTAAGATAAACGCGAAACGTATAGTTTTTGTATTCTTCAATATGATTTATACATTTAAATCCATAAGAAACCAAAAACAAGAACTAATTTTTTGAGTACCATAGTGCCCAAAGATATAAGGTAGCTTCTTACTAATAAATGTCGATAAAATTTTTGTACGATTTCGTTTTTGTATAGAATATTATTAATATATATTTGTACTATGTATCGAGTCATAAAGAGAAAGTAGCAACTACTTCCGTTCTCATTTTGTAAAGATCACATTTTAATAAACGTTAAAAAATATCACTGGATAACACATATCTATGTATATTATGTGAAACACTCAACATTGGTCCTTCGAGCCAAATTACCAAGAGTAATATTATAGTAAATTCGATACTAAAAGCAATTAGACCATCCGCACGCAAGAATAAGTTATTAGACATAGAGAATCTGGAGATTTCGATAACAGCAAAATAGCATATATTACACAACGGTAGTTAGAAACCACAATATTTGGTAAGTTGTACCAAGATAACCAAGCACGAGATTAGTCATAAATTATTAATCAAGATGAGCGACGAAAAAAAGATAATGCTACTGAAAAGAAAACGCGCTAATATAAAGGCGGCACGCGGTAAAAATTATATTGAGTTCATGAAAGCTCGATTAGATAAGCTCAACTCAATATGATACCGTACAATCAGAATTAGAATTGTTGGATCAGAACGAGGCATCGAATAAAAAAGGTTTTGAGATTGCATTTTTCGCGTTGAGTAATACAGCTAATTATAAGTGAAGATAATGTCAAGTTATCGACATCTTCAAATAGCTCGACGTCGCGACCGCGCACAGATGGAAATATTCATTTGCCCAAGATAGTATTACCGACATCTTTTGGGTACTATGACGAGTGGATGTCCTTTCACGATATCTTCCATTCATTAATTTATACTAATATCACATTATCTAACATACAACGTTATTTCAAATCATCTTTGATTGGTGAAGCAGCGAAGATAGTATACTCATTAGAAATCACCAAAAGCAATTATGCGAATGCCTAGTCGATGCTCAAGGAACACTACATGAATTTAATTCTTTTTTAATTTATGAAAATATAATAATGTAATACAATACAATATTTTAAAGATTTTTATCACATACGTCAGTAAAATTAATCAAACTTATTTTATATTTTATTATAGTTTTATTAATGAATGAGAGAAATATTTACACAAAATTCTTCGAAATACAATGTTGTCCCAGGACTACCATATTTTATATGTGGCGACGATAATTTTATTTTTTATACATGTAAGAAATTTCTTTTTAGATATTGGGAATACAAATTAGTTCGTCCGTTTTTTTGTGTTCAAAAATGCATTTATTTCAAAACAAAATGAATGAACAGATCAATTATAGTATTGTCCATCGCCACCTACTACTTTTTTCCATCTGTCAGGCAATTTTCGAATTCCATCTCGAAAAAATGACTCGTCTTTGGAGGCGATCCAATTTTGGAGCCAATTTTCAATTTCTGTGAAAGAAGTGAACCGGTGACTTGCCAAATCGTGCTGTATCCTTCGGAACAACCAGTAATCAGGAGTAATGTCCAGAGAATATGGCGGGTGCGGTAAAACATCCCATTTAAGCGTTTTCAAATATTTTTTTACGACTTTAGCGACATGAGGCCGAGCGTTGTCATGAAGAAGAATAACTTTATCATGTCTTTGCTCATGTTCCGGCCGTTTTTCTCGCAATGCACGGCTCAAACGAATCAATTGTAGTCGATACCGATCACCCGTAATGGAATCGCCAGGTTTCAGCAGCTCATAGTAAACAAGACCCTTTTGGGTCCCACCAGATACAAAGCATGATCTTCGAACCATGAATGTTCGACCGTGGTGTTGATGTTGAGATAGCAACGATTGACCGAGCTTAGCGTAGTTTTTTCTTCTTGAGGTCGTAGAATATCCACTTCTCATCTCCAATCACAATCCGATGCAAAAAACCTTTTCTCTGTTGTCTTTGAATCAGCTATTCGCAAGTGAAAAATCGCCTTTCAACATCTCTCGGTTTCAGTTCATAAGGTACCCAATTTCCTTGTTTTTGAATCCATGGCTCTCAATCGTACAGAAACGGCTTGTTACCCTCAATGATTCTACAAGCTCCTCTTGCGTTTGACTCTGATCTTCTTCGAGTAATGCCTCTAATTCTTTGTCTTCGAATTTTTTTGGCTGTCCAGAGCGAGGCTTGTCTTCAACGCTGAAATCTCCATCCTTGAAGCATCAAAACTATTCCCTACATGATTTATCAGTTGAAGCAATGTTACCATAAACTTCGAGCATTCGATGGGGCTTTAGCCGCACTTTTCTTCCAATTAAAGCAGAAAATCAAAACCTCCCGCAAATGCTGCTTGGTTAACACAAAATTCGACATTTCAAACAAAGTAAAAATCAAAGTTTTTGTATGAAACTCAAAGCGATATAAGCTGAATATTATTAGCAGATTAACCTCTCTGAAACCGCCAAAATCAGCTGTCACTATTCACAATAGCTGGAGCCATCTTTAGGGAAACGGACCGAACTAATTTGTACTCCCAATACAACAAAATTATATCATTAGATATCTTTTTTAATTACCTATTTTATCCATGCCTACTGCAAGAATAAAAATGTTGGATATATGTATAATATTAGATATTGACTATATACAATAACAGATGATCAATGGATAATGATTGCATACAAGATATTTAACGTAATGGTCTACATGATTTTTTTAGACACTTCCAATAATTAAGAGGATCCTAAAGATTGGTCATAGAGTAAGTAGAACATACAGATGATTTGTCACTGACACCTTATATACTATTACATCAATATCTCATTCACGCATGTCACACTTGCACATTTTTCGTATAACAATAAATTTTTTAATTAGATGTCTAAATTCAATTTTAAAAAATCCACGTTGTTTTTTCATGCAAGCTATTAGTCTGTGGAAGTATAAATTACACGGTTTTTATACGAAACAAATACTGTCGATATGACAGTTCTAGAGTGTCATATTGGACTAAAAAATAATAAAGATCTCAATTTTGAAATTTTTTTACATTCTCTCGCATAAATTTCATAGATACGTATTAATGTGTATATTTTAGTCCTGGAAAAGGATTTTCAAATTTGTAAAAGAGGAAAAAAGTAATTGTTATACAAAAATTATATGATTTATCCAATAATACAGGCGACTTTAGGATCTCTTTAAAAGAAAAAGTTGAAAATTAAATATTCATCTGTTTCATGCAGGCTACAATATGCGAGATAAAAGAAAGTTTTTTTTTTCAATCAAGATTATCTTGAATTTTTTAAATGACCATACAATTTTTTCCATAATAGGAATTTTCAAGGTGAATTCAATGCACTATCGAGAATGTCATTTTTATTGACAATCTTGCATTAGAATTCGCTTTCGCCTAATATTAATATTAAACATACACTTATCTCACTTTAAATTCCAAAAGTGTACGCTGATTCAGCCACAAAAAACAAATCCTCTGTTTATAAGATAATTTCTAAAGATATCTCTAAGATAATTTTGAACTATTCGTACATTATAGGTTAGAAAATCCTTCTGTGTACATTCAGAGCTGTAAGTACTGCTGTTACAAATAATGTTGCGAATAATATTTGATATTAAATATCAATAAAATCGATAAAACATTAATAAAAGTGACATTCTCAATAAACGTGTATGAAGTTGATATCTCATCTTTTGGCACCCAAGTTTTGATACAAGTTCCATTGGCACTTACAATAATTCTGTAGTTCCTGATAGATTTTAGAAATAATTCCGTCCTCTAAGTATTTTTAAATAATAATTAAACCCGCGCTCTGATACCGCACATCAAGAGTGAAGTACCTCTTAATAATCAGTTTCAGCCAACATTTTCCGATAATTCTATAATAATTTCAACGTTTTCTTCAGGTTTTGTTCAGAGTTACAGTCTTTATGTATTTTAAAATAATTTTTTAATCTGAGCACTGGCTTTTTTTAACTAAATCAACGGAACTATTTCTAAAACCTATCAGAAACTATAGAACTATTGCGGTGCCAAAAGATGAAGTGCCAACTTCACACACATTCTCGATAGTGTGTTGAATTTTCATCTTGAAGACCCTTATAATATTATATTACAGAAAAAAATTATATATTATTTAAAAAATTCAAGATGATTTTGATTTTTTCGTTAAACATTTTTTTAACTTTTGACGTATGTGTTGTCTACAGGAAACAGATGAATATTCACCTTCCGATCTTTTCTTTTAATTGTCAGAAATGTCTGAAATCGTGCAAACCCTGTATAAATACTGCAATTATAAATCTGCAATTATAAATCTCAAATTGGAAAGAAAATTGGGAACTTCCAAATGAAACACTCTTCCAACTGAGATGAAACTTTACAGGTAATATTATTACAATATACAGAATATCCCAGAATAACCACCAAATATTTCGTGCGCTGATAGAAACGAATTAAACTGAGAGTTAAAAAGTCTTTTACTTTTATTTTATAATTTTCGCAATAGTTAAAATATTAATTTTTTTACAAGATATTAATTTTTAAAGATAATAGAATATTGGTTTTAAAATATTATAATTTTTTACAAGTACTATCAACTTTACAGGAAAACAGCAAGCGACAAAAATTATTTACTTTCTTCTCATAGAGCTCGAAGAATCTGCAGAATTTTTTATCAACTTTTTAGTACTGCATTTTCTTATATTGTATATTAGCAACTATTTTTACTAACATAAGAAAATACGGTATTAAAAAATTCTGAAAAATTCTCAGAACTCTAAAAAGAAAATAAATAATTTGTCAGAAAATAAATAATTCTGTCTTGCTGTTTTTCTGTAAAACTGATAATATTTGAGTAAAAAATTATTTAAAACCAATATTTGGCGATTTTTAGTAATTAATATCTTGTTAACTATTGCGAAAATTGCGAAAATGGTTGAGGACTTTTCGACTCAGTTTAGGCTCTACCACACACGAAATATTTAGCGACATTCTAGGACACCCTATATAGTAATAAATATTTATAAAAATCCTATCTTTGGGTTTTTTCTATATTTTAAATAATAAAAAAATTAAAAGAAGAAATTTATAATTTTATACATAAATACATTAGTGACATCAGATTTTATATTTAATAATTAAAATTAAACCTGACCTAGAACATTTATAATAGGAATTTGGCTAAGTCATGATTAATTCTATTAGTGCCGACAAAAGATTTGAGAGCTATTATGCCGACTGAGGAAGATCTTTCCGACTCTGATGTTGATATATGTTCAATATTATCAAGATCATGATCCTAAAGTCAGAGATTTTAGCTGTTACTAGTTAACTCTTATTCTATTAAAAAGTTATTAACAAAGAACATTAAGAAATAACATCTTTCTGCTATATGCAATATTAGGGACTACTTAACAGTAGCCTTTCTACTATTGAGTAGTCCTATCTACTCTTCAACTTTCCATCTTATATAAAGTTGAACTTTCCACGCGAAGTGAGACCTACCTCACCTTCCCCTCTGCCTAGAAGCGTCCGATTTTCTATGAGAAGCGAGTCCATCTCACCTCCTGCTGTGCCTAGAAAAGGTCCTAGGCAGAGAATGAACCTTGCTGTGTGTGTGTGTGTGTGTGTGTGTGTGTGTGAAGTCCAAGGTTCTTATCAGGGAAGTAATTAATATTGTAAATAGCAGAAATAAGACATTATTTCTTAAACTTTTTTTGTTAATAACTTTTTAACAAATGACGAGCGACAACTAAAATTTCTTGGAGATCACTGACTTCGACAACGATGTCAAGGTGAAAGTAATTGGAGAAGTCATTCCCAATTGGCATACTATAATTTTTTAAATTATTTTTTACTTTTTAAATTATACAATAGAAAATTCAAAGATGGAATTCTCATAAATAATCATTATATATTGTAAAACAATATTATCTGTAAAGTTTCAACTCAGTTGGAAAGATGTCTCATTCGGAAGAACACTCAAAAATTGTATTATAATGCTTATTATTTTGTAGATTTATGTTTTTTAATAATAGAGAAATAATTATGATACTAACAATTTTGGTATACTTACATTTAACACTAGTTACGTCGATAGCACGATCGGTATCTTTAACTGGTAATTCGTGTGGACTAGGCTCCAATTGATTTTTACTTGCCGCAGATATCCTACTTCCGTCTTGTCCAATTGCGCTAGCACCACTCCGGCCATTCGTGATGATTGCTGATCCAGATCTTCTTACTGTTGTACCAGGTAGACTTAAGCTAGTCAAATAAATACTATATATAAATAATTTATATTTATGCTTGTATTATTGTAATTTAAATAAATATCTGCTTTAATGTACACATTATCTGACGAACTTGATTTTAATATACATTGTCAAGATTATTTTATTAAATACTATTGTGCAAGTTTTAATAGTTCATTGTTTTGATTTAAAAATTTTAATCCAACCAATTCTCTCACTGATTACATTATTATTGCTTAACTCAAGAGAAATAGTATCACTTTGACGCATTATATATATATGTACATATATGTGTATTTTTTATACGTATTATTATATGCTCGTTTTCTACAAAGCAAGCTTCAATATTTATCATTTCTTTTCTAGTATAAATGAAAATAGCAGTACATTTTAAGTGAAAATCAATGAATGCTTTCAATAAGTCGATGCAATTGTTCTATTTTTGATATTCTTTATCAAGAAAGAATGATGTTTGTGTCTACTTATGTCGCCTATTAGAAAGCATCCAATGCTAATTTTCGTTTTATAATATATGATTATAATATATTCATAATTTAATAAGACGAAAAATTTTGTGATATAATTTTTAGAGCTCTATGAGAAGAAAATAAATAATTTTTGTACTAAGGGAACATATATGTTATCAACTCATTGAATTGTATACATTGAAAAGAATCTCAAGCGAAGATCGAAATGTTTGTCTAATCATTGTCAATTAATCGAATAAAATAATATTATATACATCAAAATCTTGTGTCTAGTTCTCAAGACAATTTTATGCAATTGATTTACTTCACTTGAGCCTTAATTTTTATTAATTTGTTCAATTTTTGTCACTTGTTTTTCAGTAAAATTAATAGTACTTGAATAAAAAATTAATGAAAACCAATATTCGGCGATTTTTAATAATTAATATCTTAGCTATTGCAAAAATTGCAAAATAGTAAAGGACTTTTCGACTCGAATTTAATTCGTTCTAGAGATCCTTTAATCAGAATCATGAGACGATTTGAGTCGACTTTTGCACGCAGGATAATAGTTTTAACAAAATCGATAATAGAGAAAGAAATATATTAATATCTCTGTCTAATCTTAACGTGGCGTTAAAAGATTACCTTTTTTGACAAATTGTGTATATATGTGCGTATGTAATGATATAGTATGTAAAATACTAGTATTGAGTAGATGTCTTGTAAATAGCATATGTATTGTAAATTAAATTAGTAAAACAGCAATTCCATCGGAGTTTAGCCATCATGTTTGACCAACACCTTCTTAAAAGTTAAGGCTACAGTCCGATTCACGTTTAGGATATTTAAGAAGCATTTTATCTTTGTTATTTATCAAATGTTAAACAAAGATAAATAATGCTCATGAGTATTGTAAATGTGACTCGGACCGCGGTTTAAGAAAGTTATCAGATTTTTACCTAGCAGAGGAATGATCAATACTGATACTTCTAGGTCTTGGTGGTAGTGTCGGTTTTCCTCCATTTCCATTCGATGAAGTATCCTCTGAACTCGAATCTTCTTGATTTCCTGTTTGACTTAGATTAACTGTAAAAGAAATATATAAATAAACAGCAATATTTTAATATTGATTGCTGATATAAAGTTTAAATACCAATTGAGAAAGCTCCTTGCATTCCTCGTCTTCTCAAGATTGATGAAATATTGTTACCAGAAGAAGTCAATTTATTTTGATGATTGATTTTATTTTGAGAACTAATCGTTGGTCTCATCAAACCACTTGTTTTGTTGTTGGAGTGACCGCCCCAGCCTCTACTTCCCCCTGTTATACCAGCGTCTGATTCAGAGTCACTCTATAAATGACAATGATTTTTATTTAATGTATACTGTGTGTATGTGTGCGCGCGCGCGCGCGTGCGCGTTATGTATGATTTCAGTGTTCATACAATTCTTATAGTAGTTTCTTATACACATTGCAAACATACTTGATTTAAAACACCAACACTGCTGCTTCTCGTTATATGAGTTGAATGATTTTTCCCTGACATATATCTGAATTGATTGCTAGGATTGACACTTCCCAATTTCACTGCTCCGCTTACATTTTTATTTCCTAATTTTCCTGAAACTATTAATTGTCATTAATTCGGAAAAGAAATTACATAGATACACTGTTAGAAATGTTCTTAAATTTCATTAACTTTTAAGTTACACAATTTGAATTTAATTTGATGACATTATATAACTAAAAAGTATATTTGTGTACATATACATAAAATTTAATCCATTTTTCATGAAAATTTATGAAATTTAATGTACACGTTCATTACATTTAAATAACTACTGTAACTTAATTTTCAATTAAATCATTCATTACTTTTAATTTCATTCATAACCATGAGCTTCATTTATATGTAAAGAAAGCTCGTGATTACATTTCTAACAGTGTATTGTCATATTTTTAATATGCAAAAGACAAATATAATTGTAACTAACAAAAATTTTCTTTAATGAAAATGACATCGAATATAAGAATATATTATTATTATCCAAACATATTATCCAAACAGAAGATAAGATACCTTGTAAAGGGCCATGCAATAACCTATTTGAAGGACTGATGGAAAGATCACTCAACGAGCAGGCACGTCTCATGCCACTTTCTTCTTCGTTGTCAATAATTTTTAACGAGATTCGCCCCTCACTACTGCCAACTGTTGACAACGCGCACACACATGCACTAATCGCTACTATTAAATTTGCATAATGAATTTCTTTTCTTTAAATGTTTATTAAGAAAATCTTTATTTTTAAGAAGATAAATAAATTACAATATAAGAGAGAAGCACTATTTTTTAATAATAAAAAATATATACACAATGTAAAAATAAATTAATTTATTATAATAAATATGTAAAAACACATACACACACACACACGCGCGCGCGCGTGCGCGCGCGTATGTGTATGTGTGTGTAGAATATATTCAATAATTTTTTCTTTATGTGTACAAGAAATATCAAGTTCAAAATAAGTTTGATTTTACAAATTTTCTACAATTAATATCACCGATATTTGACATGGAACTTCTCACAAAAAATATAGCGCGACATTACAATAGAAAGCAGAATAATGACGAAAAGGAAAGGATAATGTTGTAATTTAATGAGAAAAACAATGTGCGGTTCCATGCAAAATGAAAATGATATAAATATTAATAAAGTCGTCGCATGACTTGGAAAGCATTCAAACTGAAAAGTAAGATGCTGTCGCCTTGAAATAAAATTAAACGCGCGATTGTTCATAGGCAATGAATAAGACGATTAATTATGATATTTCATCAAGATACAATTCACTTTCGTATTTAATTACAAGGTATTTCAAAAAGAAAGAGAAAATTTTTGAAAAAAAGTAAACATATTAAAATACAAGAAAAAGTTACAGTGGAAATAAAAAATAAGTAATTATTGCAAAATGTAACTGTACGGAGTTAATTTCAATTTCGCACTATCTGAACGCATTATTTGGGAATCTTTTTGATAAAAAAATCTCTCTGCTTAATATAAATAGTTCAAAATATAAAAAAAGATACTTTGTTTTAAAATTATAATAAATATTAGTTAAAAATTGATATTTTCAGAAGAAAATAGTCACTATTAATCACTATTATGTTATTTCTATTTTTCAGTTTGGACTATAAAAACATAAAAAAATGTTGGTATATACAAGGTGTAACTAAAATAAGGTAACAAACTTCAGTCACCGACTCCTCAAAACACGAAAAAATTCATATAAATGTATGACTGCAAACTTACTGTTACTGAAATAGCTCAAAATGTTTATTAATAAGAAAAAATAAAAAATTAATATTTATTATTTAATATTTATTTATTTTCAATTTTTCATTCTAATAAATGTTCAGAGTGTCTTTTATTTAATTCAATACACTTGGACACATCGAATCATGAACTATTGCTCTTTCAAACATCTCGGGACAATTGTGAATGCATAAGCATTAAAGATGCTATAACATAAGATTGGCATAGCATATCTTCATTTGAACTAGAACTTTATAAACTAAGGACCCATTTCCACTAACGTAGATTAACTTTAATCTCGGTTCAACTTACTTTTCGTCTTACTTTTCTAATTTTTAGAACTAGAAAAAAACGAAGAGTAAGTTGAATCGAGATTAAAGTCTACATTGATGAAAACATAAATGTTCCCACAGATAAAAATCTGCAGGATTGGGAAATCGTAAGGGCCATGCAAATATTTTGACATATATCTTAGTAACAGTAGATTTGTGGACATATGTTCATATGAACTTTTTTTCAGTTTTAATAGAAAGCTCAGCCTCGAAGTGTTGTTACCGAAGTATTTGTTATCTTACTTTAATTACATCCTGTGTATGTATATTTTTTATTTAACACTGCTATCGATTCATAATCTAACAGCAATTATATTATCAATATCTATACTAATAATATCATCAAGAAATGCTAAATCTTAATCTTACAAAATTTCTCATTGTACTATAAGTTTCCATCTTTTTAATAATCTTGCGCCTTCAAATCATTTGCAATCTCTGCCAATAGCGGATGGATTTTCCGGCCTTATGGGAAGTCACAATAGTGATCTGAACAATCTCAGAAACTTCGATTACCTTTGATATTTCTTAATAATATATAATAATATATAATATATAATAATA